TAAGATAAATGTTAAAAATTTTGCGGTTTTCTGGCATGTTGCTGGTGTGTAAATATTTATTTTTATTTTGCTATAATAATTTTCTTTTTTAATTCATTTAAATTAAACCATAATGTTTACTTTTTCATTTCTTCGTCATTCTTTTATTTACGCCGAAAATTACGTTAAAAAAAACAAACAAACCAAAAGAAATATTGTCACAGCAAAATAATAAACAACGAACACAAACTGTGTGCTTTTTGCTTTTTTATACAAATTGTTGCTAATCCTATAAAAAAAAAAACAACAACAGCAGCAACAACAAATGTTTTTACACTAAAAATAGACAATTAATTATTGGCAGTTTATGTGGAGCTTTATTGTACAGTGTCTATCAGAATAAAAGAGAGCGTAACGAAAATATTACAAAATTTACATATTCGAAAAACTTCTTTAAATATGGAAAAAAACTTAAAATTTTCTATAAAAGAGATTTTCAAAAATTTTCTTTAAAAAAGTAAATTTTCGAAATTTTTTTAATAAAGGCAAATTTCTATAAAAAGGGATATTTTCTATAATAATTAAAAAAAAAATTGAGAATTTTCTTTAAAAAATGATACATTTTTTAGATTTTCTATTAAAAGTAAAATTTTCCTGAATTTTTTATTAAAAACAGAAATTTTTTATAAAAAAATAAAGTTTTTGAAATTTTTTTTTTTAAAAAAATTAAAAATTTACGAAAGATTTTCTATAAAAAAGATAAATTTTCGAAATATTTTCTAAAAAAAAGGCAATTTCTAAATAAATGATAAATTTTCGATTGATTTTTTATAAAAAAGAGAAATTTTCAAAATTTTTGATGAAAAGAGAAAACTGAACTAGAACTGAACTGAACTAGAACTGAACTAGAACTGAACTAGAACTCTAGAACTGAACTAGAACTGAACTAGAACTGAACTAGAACTGAACTAGAACTGAACTAGAACTGAACTAGAACTGAACTAGAACTGAACTAGAACTGAACTAGAACTGAACTAGAACTAGAACTGAACTAGAACTGAACTAGAACTGAACTAGAACTGAACTAGAACTGAACTAGAACTGAACTAGAACTGAACTAGAACTGAACTAGAACTGAACTAGAACTGAACAAGAACTGAATTAGAACTAAACTAGAACTGACCTAAAAAAGAGAAAATTTGGAAATTGTTTCTATAAAAAAAGGAATTTTCGAAAATTTTCTATAAAAAAATGAAAATTTTCTATAAGAATAATTTTTAAAAATTTTCGAAAGATTTTCTGTAAAAAAGAGAAAATTTTGAAGTATTTTCTATAAAAAAAGGAAAATTTCTATACAGAAGATAAATTTTTATAAAAAAAGAAAAATTTTCTTAAGAAAGAAAAATTTTTAAAAATTTTCTATAAAAAAAATGGAAAATTTTGAAAAACAGAGAATAAATTTTTCTAAAAATTTTTATAAAAATAGTGAAATTATCGAAAATTTTCTATGAAAAAATTGAGAAAATTGTCAATAAAAACATTTTTAAACATTTTCTAAAGGAGAAATTTTCTATAAAATGAAAAATTTTCATTTTATAGAAATATAAAAAAGTTAAATTTTCAAAAAATTAATTTTTAAAAAGAAAAATTTTTCGCAATCTTCTATAAAAAAATAAATTTTTGTAAAATTTTCTCTAAAAACGGAATATTCTTTTCTATTAAAAAGAGAAATCTTTGAAATTTTTCTTAAAAAAAAAAAAATTTACTGATCGACAGTTCTATACTAAAAGTAAATTGATCAAGAATCTATATCTCTATATAGATAATTTAGTCTAAAAAGAAACTAAATCGCAAGTTTTCTCAATAAAGAAATTTAAAGGAGTGTTTTCACTATGCATATTGAAAATTGATCGGGAGTTTTCTTATAAACACTTTTATAAAAAAAAAAAATTCAAAATTTTTAAAAATTCCCTTTTTATTTTTCCTTCTCACTGCATGTTTATATGTATGTTTGTCTATAAAAACTCAACCATAACAATAATATTCAATACTTTACTATGAAAATGTTTAAGAATCAAATTGGAAAACACAGAAAAAATCCACAACAACTGAAACAGATACAAAACAGCACATTTGTTTGAGTGGCAAATTTATGAGCCATTTCGAGGTTGTCTTCTTCGGCTGTTTTGAATTTGGACAAAAAAATATATATTAGACAGACACATGATGTAAAAAAGAAAAGTGAACAAGCTACAACACAAACACAACGTCAACAACCGCCCTTTGTATGGCCGAACGAACATTTTTTTCAAAAAGTTTGACGACGACTAATCACTCAAAATCTGTACAAAAGAAGAAGAAGAAAAAAAGCTAAATGAAGATGAGTAACAAATTACAAGAACAAGAATTTCGGTGACCATTGACATATAGATGTAGGCACACATCATGTATAGTCGAACACACATTGGTTTGCATACACTCCCATACATATTTCCTAACACTTACAGACAGACAGTTTTTAATAGAATTCTATCGTTTATAATGCAATTGCAACAAGTGCAATGCACATAGAAAAAAAGGTCAAATGTTGCAAATTTTAGTTTTGACAGCTAGCAATGTTATTTCTATTAAAAGTTTATCCCAAATTTCGAGCATTTTCTTTATATGGAAATTTGGTCGTGAATTGTTTTCAAAACTGAGAATTGATAGCAAATTTTCTTAATACAAAAAAATTATTGTGAATTTTCTCTATAAAGAAAATTGATCGTGAATTTTCTCTAAAAATAAAATCTTTTTGGAAACTGCCTTTATATTGAAAATTTATCGTAACTTTTTTCTATACAAATAATTGATCGTGAATTATGACTTTATGAGAAATTGATCATGTGTGTCTACCTACATGTATTTCTTTCAAAATATTTTATAATGATCTTCTCTATATAGAAAATTTATTGTGAATTTTCTCTATAAAGAATATTGATGGTGAACTTTCACTATATTGATAAATGATCGTGAGTTTTCTAAAAAGTTATTGTATATTGTTTCTATATAAAATGAACATGAAGTGATCTTGAATTTTCACTGTAAAGAAAATTAACATTGAATTTTCTCTATAAAAAAATTTGATCGAGAACTTTATATTAAAAATTTATCTCGAATTTCTAGAATTTTCCTTATATAGAAATTCGTTTGTGAATTTTTTCAATACTTAAAATTGATCGCAAATGTTTTTAATACAAAAAAAAATATTGTGAATTTTCTCTATATAGAAAATTGATCGCGAATTTTCTCTAAAAATAAAATTCTTTTGGAAACTGTCATTATATTGAATATTGATTATAACTTTTTTCTATACGAATAATTGATCGTGAATTATGACTTTATGAGAAATCAATCATGGATTTTTCTCTACACAATAATATAAATTTATCGTATACTTTCCCTATATAGAGAATTAATCGGGAATTTCTTCTATAAAAGATACTTGAACGAGGACTTTCTCTATGTGGAAAATTTATCTTGAGAATTGATCGTATCTGGCAATTGACCCTCAATTTTCTTTAAAAATACTTTATAGTGATCTCTATATTAAACATTTATCGTTAATTTTCTCTTTAAAGAATATCGATGGTGAACTTTAACTATATTTGTAAATGATCGTGAGTTTTCTCTATTCAAATAATTGATCGCAAATTATATTTGTATGAAAAATCATAAATTTACTTAAGCATTCATATTAAAAAGTAATCGTATACTTTCTCTGCAAAGAAAATTAATCGTTAATTTCTTTTATAAAGATAATTGATCGAGAACTTTCCATATGTGAAAAACTTTATATAGAAAATTAAACGGTAAATATGATAAATTGATCATCTATTTTGTCTACAAAATATGTTATAGTGATCTTCTCCATATTAAAAACGTGTCGTGAATTTTCTCTATAAAGAAAATTGATCGTGAATTTTTTCTATAAAGAATATTAAAGGAGAACTGTCACTAAATTTCTCTATAAGAATAATTCATTGTAATTTATATCTGTTTATGAGAAATTGATCACAAATTTCCTCTACAGAAAAATAATTTCCTGAATCTTCTCCTTTTAAAAAATTGATCATGAATATTTTATATAAAAAACAAATTATCGAGATCTGTCACAATACTAAAAATTCTTCGTGAGTTTTCTCTATACAGAAAATTGATCGAGAATTATGTTTCGTTAATCTTCTCTATATAAATATCTTTATATTGGCTATTGATCTTGACATTTCCATATAAAGAAAATTGATCAAAAATTTTTTTGCTATATAAAAATTGATCGTGAAAATCTTGAAATTTATTTATAACAAAAAATATTTCGTGAACATTCTTCTATGTTGAATATTGATCGTGTGTTTTTTCTATGCAGAAAACAGATCGAGAAGTTTTTCTTTATTGAAAATTTATAAATTTCTGCAAAAATTATCGAAAATTTTCACGATATGGAAAATTTATATTGAATAGAAATAGAAAATTGATGAAAAACTTCCCTGATCGATGATCGATAATTTTGTCTATATAGTGAAATAGTGAAAGTTTAATAATATAAATAGATCATAAATTGTCTCTCTACAGAAAATTGATCGATAATTTTGTTTATATAGTGGTAAAAATTTAATAAATAAAATATATATTTTTTTTAATTTAAAAATATATTACATAAAAACACTTTTTGAGTCGAAAATTTAAAAAAATTAGTCATATTGTTAATAACGCCAAAAAAAACATACAATTTGTTTAATATACAAATTCTTATCTTCGAAAAAAGAATTTTTTTTTTTTTTTTTTTGAATTACAAAAAGAACACTCATACATATTTTCAATTATTTCTCATACAAATGAAAACACTCCTTCAAATCACCCACAACAAACATTCATCAAAGCAACAACACTTTCAATTTCACAGTTCAAACCAAATGAAATAAAACACACGCACTTTAACGCAAAAAAAAGTGAGTGTGTGTTTTCACTCTACAACAACTTACCCCAATCAAACAAAATTAATAGTTTTCGATTTGTTGTTTTGTTTTATTATTTTTTATATGTTTTTAAAAAATGTTTTATTTTGTTTCTGGTTTATTTTTAAATCACTCTTAAATCAATTTAAATCCATTCATTTATTTTGAAGGCAGCTTTTCTCCCCCAATTTAAACACTAAAATTGACAAGACACAACAAACACTCACTGTATGCACATTTATTTAAATTTTCAATTTAGAAATAGATAATTTCAATATTTAAAAGAAAATCTAATAAATATTTTATAGATTTTCAAAAAAAAAAAAAAACACATACACACGCAATACAGCAGCAAGGAAAACCGAAGAGCGAAATATTGAAAAAAAAAAAAACTTTTGCGGCAGCAACAACCTCAAAATGTTGTTGTGTTCGCGAAGACTTGACCGTTTTATAAGAAATTCACGACTGAATGAAATTATGAACTGTTTCATTGTTTATACTCATATTGGTTAAAAAAAATTGAAAAAAAAATATAAAAACAAAAAATTCTTACAAGCTACCAAAGACAATTTTATTTACTCATTTAAATGAGGGCAGTCTGAAAAGTTTTTAGGGAGTAATGAAATAAAAATTTATTGAAAATTTCTTTAATTCTAATTTTTAAACTTAATTGAGAATTTTTTTTTAAATAAAAACTTAATCCAAATTTTTCTTTATATAGAAAAAATTTATCAAAAACTGTTCTTTATATAGAAAATTCATAGTGATTATTCTCTTATAGAAAATTTATCGTAAATTGATCATGATCATTTTTTCTCTATAGAAATGGATCGAGAATTATTTCTATAAAATCATATTGTCAATTTACTTTATAGAAAACTGATCGTAAATTTAATTTCTATAGAAAAAGTATTATGGATTTTCTCTTCATAGGGAATTGATCGTAAATTTTCTCTGTATAGAGAAGTGATCGTGAATTTTCTCTTTTTATAGATAGAGTATTATGGATTTTCTCTATATAGCGAAGTGATCGTGAATTTTCTTTTTATAGAGTAAGTAATATTTCTCTATATAGAGAATTGATCGTAAAATTTCTCTTTATAGAAAATTGATCGTACATTGATCATGAATTTTCGTTTTACAAAAAATTGATCGTGATTTTTTCTCTATAGAAATGGATCTAGAATTATTTCTATAGAAACATATTGTCAATTTACTTTATAGAAAACTGATCGTAAATTTTATTTTTATAGAAAAAGTATTATGGATTTTCTTTATATAGGGAATTGATCGTAAGTTTTCTCTGTATAGAGAAGTGATCGTGAATTTTCTTTTTCATAAAAGAGTATTATGGATTTTCTCTATAGAGATCATAAAATTTATTGTATATTTTCTCTATATAGCGAAGTGATCCTGAATTTTCTTTTTATAGAAAATTGATCAAGAATTTTTTATTTAAAAATAATTAATCGTGATTTCTTTCTTTAAAGAAAACTAATCGTGAATTAGAAAACTGATCGTGAGTCTTCTATTCATTGAAAATAGATCGAAATTTTTTTATAAACAAATTTATCGTGAATTTTATTTTATAGAGAAGGTATCGAAGATTTTCTCTATATAGAGAATTGATCGTGAATTTTCTTTATATAGAGATTTAATCGTCATTTTTTCATTTTAAAGAATATTGATCGTGAATTTTTCTATATAGAAAATTGATCAAGAATTTTTTCTTTAAAATTAATTGATCGTGATTTCTTTCTTTAAATAAAATTGATCGTTATTATTATCTTTTCATAGAAAATGTATCGAGAAATTTTCCTTTATAGAAAATTGATCGTGAGTTTTCTTTATATAGAAAATAGATCGAGATTTTTTTATTAACAAATTTATTGAAATATTTATTATTATTTTATAGAAAATATATAGAAATATATATATTTCTCTATATAGAGATTCGATCGTGAATTGTCTTTATACAGAGATTTAGTCGTAATTTTTTTCTTATTAAAGAATATTGATCGATAATTTTCTCTTTTAGAGAATTGATCGTTAATTTTCTTTATACTTGATAGAAAATTGATTGTCAACTTTCGCTTTATAGAAAATTGATGGATAATTTTCTCTACTTTCTCTATAACGTAAAGATCTCGCGAATTTTCTCTAAATAGAGAATTGATCGTGAATTTTCTTCATACAAAATGTAAATTTTTATCAAAGTTCTTTATAAAAAGTGAATTTTATAAAAAACTCTTTACAATAAAAGAATTTTATTGAATATTTTCATAAAAATACAATTATAGAAAATTGTCTTACAAGAATTTTTAAAAATCTCAAAAATCTCGAAAACTAGAATAAAATTTTCTTGAAAATTTAAGATTATTCTAAATATTTGTGAAATTCTTTAAAAAAAAACACCTTTGAAGCTATGCCTCCTATAATTTCTCCCCAAATCAAAAGGGGAGACAAACCAATAACAAACATCCGTCTGCCAACTAGCGTCGTACGCAATTAAATGATTTTGTTTTTTCTCACATGTCATACAAAAAAAATCACTTCTAAGAGTACGAAATGATCGAATTGAGCAGAGCAGAGCACAACATAAGAAAAATAATATATACATTTTCAAATGCTTGTCGTTAGCATTGATCGTCGACGACAAACTCACCGAAGATTATGATCATCATCACCATCAAAACGATTTGTTATTAAATAGAAATCGGCATAAACACAAACAAAATCTGCCGATTTCAGTGAGTGAAACTAATAGTTGATTTGCTACTTTGAGCAAATAAAAAAAAATCAACAACATAAATAAAAAAAGCAAATATGCATAAAAGCTTTAATAGCTAATTGATGCATTTTTATAGAAGTTGCAGTTGTTGTGTTTTTTTTTTTTCTCGTAATAGAAATACACTGAGAAAATCTACTCAATAGATATCTTTAGAATATTCATATCAAAACTGGAATCCTACATTTAATAACTTTGATTCTAACAGTTTTATAAATTGATCAAGACTATCATAGTTTGAAGAGACCATATGCAGGTACTGTTAAAGTAGCAAAGCTATTTTTTCAAAGTGTATATTTATGCATTCAGTATACAACAAACTGCATTTATTCTAGTATCAAAAACAGCAACAACATTCACTCTCATTTCGTGAGTAAAATGAAAATTGTTTGTAAATACTGTCTGCCTAAACAGTGACTGACTAATGGACAAAAAAGTCTTTGAAACTGCCAGTCTATCTTACTGATAGTCGTCGATTCTGACACTGGTTGTATTTTGTTTTTCTAAATGATCATAATCATTATGCATTTGTTCGTATGTTTATTGTCGTATTAAGATATTTTGTTTTGCCAATTTTGAGCATGTGTGTTGTCACATTAAGCGGATTTTCTGAGTTTTTTGTTTTGCTTTATTTTTATGGCCGATAATTTGCGAGAATAACGTTCTGCTGTCATCATCACTTTGTTGTTTGTTTTCTCAATTTTTATCACCTACAAAGTACAAACAAATAGGGAGATCAGTGGGGTGTTGAGAAAACAACAGTGTCCTTTGATGGCATTAAATTCGGTATTTAAAAAAATATTTAATTTAGGAATAATTTCTCTTTTGACATCGATATATATTTTGACATAGGTATTAATATTAACACATAGACTCAGTCATACACTAAGCTATAGATCTAAAGACATAGACAAGACATAGACAAGACATAGACAGAAGACATAGACAAGACATAGACAAGACATAGACAAGACATAGACAAGACATAGACAAGACATAGACAAGACATAGACAAGACATAGACAAGACATAGACAAGACATAGACAAGACATAGACAGACATAGACAGACATAGACAAGACATAGACAAGACATAGACAAGACATAGACAAGACATAGACAAGACATAGACAAGACATAGACAAGACATAGACAAGACATAGACAAGACATAGACAAGACATAGACAAGACATAGACAAGACATAGACAAGACATAGACAAGACATAGACAAGAATAGACAAGACATAGACAAGACATAGACAAGACATAGACAAGACATAGACAACATAGACAAGACATAGACAAGACATAGACAAGACATAGACAAGACATAGACACAGACAAGACATGACAGACATAGACAAGACATAGACAAGACATAGACAAGACATAGACAAGACATACAAGACATAGACAAGACAGACAAGACATAGACAAGACATAGACAAGACATAGACAAGACATAGACAAGACATAGACAAGACATAGACAAGACATAGACAAGACATAGACAACTAGACATACATAGACAAGACAAGACATAGACAAGACATAGACAAGACATAGACAAGACATAGACAAGACATAGACAAGACATAGACAAATAGACAAGACATAGACAAGACATAGACAAGACATAGACAAGACATAGACAAGACATAGACAAGACATAGACAAGACATAGACAAGACATAGACAAGACATAGACAAGACATAGACAAGACATAGACAAGACATAGACAAGACATAGACAAGACATAGACAAGACATAGACAAGACATAGACAAGACATAGACAAGACATAGACAAGACATAGACAGACATAGACAAGACATAGACAAGACATAGACAAGACATAGACAAGACATAGACAAGACATAGACAAGACATAGACAAGACATAGACAAGACATAGACAAGACATAGACAAGACATAGACAAGACATAGACAAGACATAGACAAGACATAGACAAGACATAGACAAGACATAGACAAGACATAGACAAGACATAGACAAGACATAGACAAGACATAGACAAGACATAGACAAGACATAGACAAGACATAGACAAGACATAGACAAGACATAGACAAGACATAGACAAGACATAGACAAGACATAGACAAGACATAGACAAGACATAGACAAGACATAGACAAGACATAGACAAGACATAGACAAGACATAGACAAGACATAGACAAGACATAGACAAGACATAGACAAGACATAGACAAGACATAGACAAGACATAGACAAGACATAGACAAGACATAGACAAGACATAGACAAGACATAGACATAGACAAGACATAGACAAGACATAGACAAGACATAGACAAGACATAGACAAGACATAGACAAGACATAGACAAGACATAGACAAGACATAGACAAGACATAGACAAGACATAGACAAGACATAGACAAGACATAGACAAGACATAGACAAGACATAGACAAGACATAGACAAGACATAGACAAGACATAGACAAGACATAGACAAGACATAGACAAGACATAGACAAGACATAGACAAGACATAGACAAGACATAGACAAGACATAGACAAGACATAGACAAGACATAGACAAGACATAGACAAGACATAGACAAGACATAGACAAGACATAGACAAGACATAGACAAGACATAGACAAGACATAGACAAGACATAGACAAGACATAGACAAGACATAGACAAGACATAGACAAGACATAGACAAGACATAGACAAGACATAGACAAGACATAGACAAGACATAGACAAGACATAGACAAGACATAGACAAGACATAGACAAGACATAGACAAGACATAGACAAGACAAGACAAAATAGACAAGACATAGACAAGACATAGACAAGACATAGACAAGACATAGACAAGACATAGACAAGACATAGACAAGACATAGACAAGACATAGACAAGACATAGACAAGACATAGATGATTCTCAAAATTATTTTCTTTTAATATTGAAAGTAGATTAAAAATACAATTTTATCATATTTTTTCCCACCTTTGCCCCACTGCTTTAGCGTCATAGTTTACTTATTGATATCAAAATACAAAATGCAATGTTTATAAGCAATTTAATGACATCATCAAATATGAAAATAAAACAGAAACGTAACACATACGAATCACACCAGTCTGTCCGTCAGTCCGTCTACAGTCTCGTAAATGGATATTTAGATTATGAATGTGGGCACAGAACAAAAAAAATGACAAATGCGTTTGATTTAAAGGAATGTGTATGTTTTAAATTTTAAACCACAAACGGTTAATAAGCTACAAAAGGTACTAAGATAGCACCACGTATCCTTTTTCTCCTTTAATTATAAAACAAATTGAATCTGCAGGTTTTCACAATTAAATTTTATTTAAAAAAAATTTCGTTTCCTGGTAAAATTCTGACTACTTAACATATTTTTTATTAATAGTGGTATTGGTTTCTTAAGGTTAAATTTATTATTTCAAATTTGTAAATATTTCTAAATGAATGTATGTCTATATTTGCATTCCTTCCATCTAAGTGGAATTTCATTGCCAAGATCGTAGGAATACCTACACACACATTTTTATATACATTCATACATTTTCACTTACATATTTGCGATATGATGATGTGTTAAAGAAAATAAAAAGAAAAATTTCCTTTTTTGAAATTGCTATTCATTGAATAAAATTCATCTCAGTTGTGTGTGTTCTTTGCGAAAAACGTAAAAATAATATTTAATTTTACACACTGACGTTATTTTTGAAATATGAATCAATTTTACTTCGAGGAAATTCTATTGAAATATACAAAATAATAAGAGCAAAAAACAACAACATTAAAAAAATAAATACTTAAGAAAATTATAAAAATATGTTAAAATATATTTTCAGCACTTAACTAAATCAATAAAAAAAATTTTAAAAGTAATTAATTGAACACAATATTAAAATTATTAAGTGGCGGCGGCGTATACACCGCCGACACATTCTCAGAACGCCATCTAATTAAAAATATAAATAAAATTTATAGTTGTTTCACACGTTTTTCAAATGCACTATGGGTGTGCACTGAATGGTGACAAAAATACTAATAATGGGTTATTTATTTGAGGCATAAATTTTAAATAAATTTAATTCAGTTCATTGCATTTTATTGAGTCATTTTATGTAAATTATGTATGAAATTGTTGAAAACATTAAAAAGGAAATATTATGGAATAGAGCTATATGAGACATAGATTAGACATAGAGTAGACATATACTAGACATAGACTAGACATAGACTAGACATAGAACTAGACATAGACTAGACATAGACTAGACATAGACTAGACATAGACTAGACATAGACTAGACATAGACTAGACATAGACTAGACATAGACTAGACATAGACTAGACATAGACTAGACATAGACTAGACATAGACTAGACATAGACTAGACATAGACTAGACATAGACTAGACATAGACTAGACATAGACTAGACATAGACTAGACATAGACTAGACATAGACTAGACATAGACTAGACATAGACTAGACATAGACTAGACATAGACTAGACATAGACTAGACATAGACTAGACATAGACTAGACATAGACTAGACATAGACTAGACATAGACTAGACATAGACTAGACATAGACTAGACATAGACTAGACATAGACTAGACATAGACTAGACATAGACCAGACATAGACTAGACATAGACTAGACATAGACTAGACATAGACTAGACATAGACTAGACATAGACTAGACATAGACTAGACATAGACTAGACATAGACTAGACATAGACTAGACATAGACTAGACATAGACTAGACATAGACTAGACACAGACTAGACATAGACTAGAATAGACTAGACATAGACTAGAATAGAACATAGACTAGACAGAGACTAGAGACTAGACATAGACTAGACATAGACTAGACATAGACTAGACATAGACTAGACATAGACTAGACATAGACTAGACATAGACTAGACATAGACTAGACATAGACTAGACATAGACTAGACATAGACTAGACATAGACTAGACATAGACTAGACATAGACTAGACATAGACTAGACATAGACTAGACATAGACTAGACATAGACTAGACATAGACTAGACATACTAGACATAGACTAGACATAGACTAGACATAGACTAGACATAGACTAGACAACTAGACATAGACTAGACATAGACTAGACATAGACTAGACATAGACTAGACATAGACTAGACATAGACTAGACATAGACTAGACATAGACTAGACATAGACTAGACATAGACTAGACATAGACTAGACATAGACTAGACATAGACTAGACATAGACTAGACATAGACTAGACATAGACTAGACATAGACTAGACATAGAACTAGACATAGACTAGACATAGACTAGACATAGACTAGACATAGACTAGACATAGACTAGACATAGACTAGACATAGACTAGACATAGACTAGACATAGACTAGACATAGACTAGACATAGACTAGACATAGACTAGACATAGACTAGACATAGACTAGACATAGACTAGACCATAGACTAGACATAGACTAGACATAGACTAGACATAGACTAGACATAGACTAGACATGACTAGACATAGACTAGACATAGACTAGACATAGACTAGACATAGACTAGACATAGACTAGACATAGACTAGACATAGACTAGACATAGACTAGACATAGACTTGACATAGACTAGACATAGACTAGACATAGACTAGACATAGACTAGAAATAGACTAGACATAGACTAGACTAGATTAGACTAGACATAGACTAGATCTAATATCTAATTCTAATATTCCCAACACCGACTATAAGTTCAATATTTACTTAGGTTTTTCTAAATTCCATTATATAAATTACAGCTTTATAATAATTTTTTTTTTAACATTATTTAAAACACTTGTGTGAAATAATAGGTCCCTGGTGTTGTTTTGTTGACTCGGTTGTAATAGAAATAATGGAAATAATTATTTTATTGGCAAACACTAAATTCCATAACCGTACCATCACCCATCCATCTATCGTCCCATCATTCCATGATGGTGAATAATTAACAATACAATTTCTTACCAACAACCAGCTCATTCAATAATAATGATGATGATGTACTCGATTATTGTTTGCTGTTTGGATTTTCTTGTTTATATTCGGTTGCACTTGCTAGGATTTATTTTGGCTTTTAGCCAAAATATTAATAACCATAAAATAGAACTAAAAGCAACAAAAAAACTAAGTGTGTACTCTTTGGAGCGAGTGTAATTTTTAAACAAAAGTTGAACTAATTGCTCCCTTTTTATCAGCCATAATGTTTTTTACAACATTTCTTTCTTATCTATTTCCAGCTAAATTGGACAAAATTCCCGTGTGTTTTGAAGGCAGGCCATTGTCATGGCGGTATGGCTACGGCACGTTTTGAAAATCAAATGGGTCTGCAAGATGCAGCCGGCCTTGTAACTGGCACCGGTTTTGAAGGCCATTGCTATTGCACTATTGAACCATACATTGATGCAAAGTTCGATGTGCACATTCAAAAGATTGGCAACAATTACAAGGCATTTATGTAAGTTGGATATGAGTAATGAATGTGTAAGACACATTTAAAATACTATATAGATAATTTTCCCTTATTTGTTGTTAAGATGAATAGAAAGAACAATTTGTTATTACTTGTTTGGTCTTAAACGTTTTTGACATTTGGCCGAGATACTTAATCTAATGAAGAGTAGACAAATATACAATGGCAGTGCACTTAATAATGTCAATAGAATCTTAAAGTAATCACTTAATTACATGTGACTTAATCCTTTTGCTTTAGTCACTTTCAAATAACATGTTGATTGATCTTACTTGTCCACAAACATATTTACTAAAATGTCAGTGGTAAATTCAAGTCGTACCTTCTTATACCCTTCATAATACATTTTATTGGAAATGCCAAAAGATTCCGTTTCTTATCCTTTCATTTCGTTATCTTTTAGGCGCAAATCTATTACTGGTAATTGGAAAACTAATCAGGGTTCAGCCATGCTGGAGCAAATTACCCTAACTGAAAAATACAAAACCTGGGTAGATGAGGTATGTAGAACTTTTACAACTTCACATTGCAATATATATTCTTTAGTAATGAATGGTGATTACCTCACTCATTACCTAAACTAATTTTTCAGATATTTTTGAAAATTATGATTAAATTATCTTTTTTGTAAAAATCAGATTTTTATCTTTCAACAGGAGTTTTACGAATATATTTTCAATAATTCAATTCCATTTTCTTGTTAGATCTCTGAACTCTTTGGTGGCATGGAAGTGTGCGGTGTCTCCGTTGTTGTGGGCAAAGATGGTCGCGAGTATATAATCAAAGCCTCAGACAGCACCTTTGCTTTGATGGGAGATTCTCAAGAAGATGATCGCAGACAAATTGCTGATCTAGTTACTTCACGCATGCAGGTGATTCTAGCAAATTATATTAATTTAAAAATTGTTTTGACATCATTTTCAAATCCTTTTAGAATGTCTGTCGCCCAGGCATGAATCAGCAAACAACTGGAGGTAACTATGGTAAATTACCCTCACGCTCATCGGTGTCTTCTCGTGGCCAAAGTCCTACCGATGAAATGGGTCCTCCACCCATAGCACCCACTGGACCAAGGCCAGCTCCCATGGGCGGTCCACCACCAATACCCGAACGCACTTCACCAGCTGTCGGCTCTATTGGACGTCTCAGCAGCCGCAGCAGTATTTCCGAAGTGCCCGAAGAGAATGGTGCTTCTACCACTAGTGCACCGGCTGGTGGTCTGCCACGACGTGATTCTCAAACATCACAGGCTTCAAATATTTCATCGGCTTCCAGGAGCACTCAACGTCCTCCGCAAACTCAGAGTTCAGTAGTTGAGGATGCGGAGGACACCATGAAGAACCTTAGAAAGACCTTTGCGGGCATATTTGGTGACATGTAGGAATTAGCCAACAAAAAACGCGGAAGAACAGCGAGCGAATCGGGTCATAGCATGACTGGTGAGAGCGGTAGTGGCAGTGCCCCCACCACAGGCGTAGGTGGCATAAGCGTCAGTGGACTCACCAGTGCCGGTAGCTCGTTCTTGGGCAAACAATTCTCGTTTACATCTGGCAAATCGAGCACTTCTGCCTCTTCGGGTCTAGGTGATTCTGTGATCTCCACACAACCCTCTCCGAAACCCGCCGAGAAACCGGTTGATGCTCGATCGGACACCTCGTCCACTTCCACACTGACCGCCGGCAGTGTTAGTTCCAGCAGCAAGCCCTCTTCCAGCGTTTTAGACACCTACGATCAAGAGTCTAAATACAAACCAGTCACCAATTTTGAACCACAAGAGCGTGTCAATCCCTTCGATAAGGGAGCCATGAAAACCAGCACGACCACCACAACCATTGGAGGTGTGTCCACCACATCTTCATCTTCGATTTCTTCGTCATCTATTTCTTCGCGTATAAATGCTCGTACGGACAGTACTTTTAAATCGCCGCCACCACCATCTAGACCACCGCCACCACCTCCTCAAAATGCCTCGATTGCTACCAACTCCAGTACCACCTATCAGAGTTCGACTGCTTCTAACAAGGACAAGACCAGCTATATCTATGGCAGTTCCACTTCCATCGAAACCATAACACGCATGGACACTACCACGGCTACCGGTAATACGGTAAGCAATGCCACAGCCTCCACCAGCCTGGGCCAGAGCAGTCAGGGTACGGCAAACACCAAATTAAGAAATGATACAGCAAACACCACCACAGACTGGAGAACTGCTATAACAGCTCCATTGAATACTGGCACCCGCTCGGCCAGTGTCTACAGTGCACCAGCTGCGGTCACCGTACCAGCTACCGGCAGCGAAGATACTCAATCTACTGCGGCCGCTTCGAATGGTTATAATGCCGCTACGGACTTGCCGTCGTACACACGACCCTCGTACTCAAGATCCGAAAGCAATGGTAATTATCTAGCCGTGGGTGTATTGCTGGTCAGCCTTACACTACGAAAATCCTAAATGTTCATCCATAACTTCAAATATATAGGTCCACATCTTCATTTCAACCCTCAACCAGCGTTTCAACATCCACCACCATCATCACGATCATCATCACCATTATTATACAACATCATTCGCATTGATCCATAAACGAAAACCATCCATCCTTGTTTCTGTTTTAAATTTTTTCATTTCCGAACCATACAATCTCAATAGCTCAATAGCTCCTTTAATTGGAGTATAAAAAAATCGCGTATAATAGTTCCTCTTTTTTAAAGCAAAGTCTTCAAAACGTTTTATTCCAACGCATGAACCTTGAAAATGTCTTTGTTAACCTAAAAAAAAAGAATGTGTTTCTTTGTAAAAATCGCATGAAAGAAAATTCCCAAATCGTGTTACTAATAAATCAATTAATTAATGGTGACAATTAACCAACCGATCAGCCTGCCTGCCATTCATCATATTCTGTTACTCCCCATTTCTTTACATAACATATTTTCGTTAAATTGTCAATGAGTGCGTCGTTATTTTGAAATTTTGTCTATATTGTATTTTTTAATTGTTTTTTTGTAAAGAGAGAAAAATCGTAAATATTTAGAACTCAAGTGTAGAAGGTCAAGTGTCATGTATTGAGTATTTGAACAAACAAATATCTAAAAAGACCAATAGACAGACAATATATACAAGTGGTTAAACGATGATCCACTGTGTTTAGTTCAATTTTTTGTAAGTTCATTGAATTTTTTTTTGTAACAATTGCTCTCAATCAATTTTTTTTTATTTGTTCTTAAAAGCAAATCAAAACAGCATTTAATACAAAATTATTGCATCCAAATTTAAATAAAAAACAAAATATGTAAACAGTATGTATTTAAGACAATAAATACTACAACAACATTAAATTATATAGTACTTATATAAAATATTTATAATAACATTTGCAAACATTGCACGTTGGGATGAGAAATCACACTAAATCACTGCTTTTAATGTATAAATTTATAAGTATTTATAAAGAACTATAAAAAAAATAAAAGAACTTAAACGTATTAGTTCAAGATCTCAATTAGATTTAGGGGAAAAATCGAAATAATTTATTTGGAGATTAAGCAATAAAATAGTTTGTCTGGAATTTTCATAAAAATTGGATCTATGCTTTAGCTCTCGACTGTCTACTTAGAGAGTATTTATTTTTTTTTTAGATTTATAAAGATCTTTCTTGAAGATTGCTGCATGGGATGTAACCTCATCAAACTAATTCAAGATTGTTTCCGAGGTACACCACTTCTACATTATTCCTTCTTTTACTAAATGATCTTCAACATCGAAGTTACTTCTTATTCATTCAATTACTACTATCAATTTGTATAATATTTTCTTCGAGATCGTTCTATAAGAGTTGAATATGAGGTCTTATCAAACGAATTCAAGAAGAATGAACAAAACTTTGCGGTATCTCATACATCTTTCTTTTCTAAATGATCATCAAACGATACTAGATCAATATCATAAAATATGGCTCTCCCATGAGTCCTCTTGCTCTCTTACTTTCACACATACGTAATCTGATCCGTCATCCTAAGGTACCGAAAAGTTCTGCTCTTTCTTCTACTTGATCAATTCCTTTTTTAATGATATCTCCTCCATAAATGATTTACCTATGATCATTTCCTCAAGATAAAGATATTCGTTTCTAAGCTATCCAAGTCTAATTCTATCAAATCTTTATAACACATCAGTCTCATTAACTACTTCAAGGTGCTTTTGCAAAGATCATTCTATTAAAGTCAATATAGATAGTTATCTTCTTTAGTCCACATAAGTCCTTCGTTTTTAAATGATCATCTAAGTCTAAATATACCAAGACTTGATCACTCGCTGGTGTCGTCATCAACTTTATCGTGTTTTCTCGGAATTCTATAAGAGATATAATCAAACAAATTCAAGATTAGTTCTGAAGTAAATGATCATCAAAATAGACTTGATCAAAGTTTGATAACTCGATCAAAGCTTGATAACTTTTGGTGTAGTTAACTAATTTATCGTACTTTCTCGTTCTATAAGAGTTTTTGTAAATTAAATCTAATCAAACGAATTCCAGATTGGTTCTGAAGTAAATGATCATCAAAAGAGACTTGATCAATGCCGTAAAACACAAAAGTAGAATAGGAAATGTTGCTTTATTTTTAAGAAATTATAGCTGTCGATGGTCGGCTCTTAGCATTCAAAGGTTTCGGTTCTTTAAAACGGCGTGGGATTTTCTTACTATAAACACCAATCAAATACGATCGTAAATACGTGATTTGTCCCTGGAATTAAAGAATTTAAATTGATAATTCAATCACTTTCGAATGTTTCCATCTCTTAGATATATATCGGTAATTCAAGACATATTTTCAAGAATTTCGTCCGGGTACCGAAGAGAAAAAAGCTGTTCAGCTTTGTTGATGTAATGTTAGAGTCCGTTCTGATTTTGAGACTTTTGATCACTTTAAAACATTACTACAAATCATTTTCGGAAAATTCAGTTTTATATCCAATCAGTTATAATTGGTTTGGTATTATTACAAATACAAATTATAAGATATTTTTAAGTAACGTTGATGCAAGGTGTCAATCCTCTACTGATGCTTCCCACATACTAGATTCATATATAGAACTCAATGTTCGAAAGTTCTTCTCATTTGATCACTTAATTTTGGAGCAAACTTTAAGCATTCATCTAAAAACTGAAGTATCTGACATTTTCAACTGGTTACCACTTAATCACTTCATCTTTAGAGATACCTATTGTTTAGGATATTTATTATTTTTTATTATTAAAATTATCATTTAATCGCTTTTATTTCTTTTATACTTCACCGCCCATTCACCAAAAAGCTTTCATCTCATCTCAATATTTTTTTCATTATTCTATTTCTTTAAATATTTATGCTTTTGTATTTTGCACTTAAGATATAAAAATCAAAATATTTTAAAACTAAAGCACAAATTGGCGTAGAAACTGCGGCACTAATAAGTAAAATAATTTTGAATCTAATAATCAAACTTTAGTAGTTAAAGCTTTTAAAAGCTAAAGCTGAAGAAATAAGTTAGAGCGACCCCCATTTCAATTTCAAAAAAGGATCAGCGCTGTGATTATATATTTTGCATGAGTTTTAAATTGAATTTTGTTAGAGAAAAATGTATTCCTAAATAGAACTTTTTTTCGTCAGATATTAGGCTGATGATGTTCTAAATTAAGTACCTTTAGAAGGAGTGCAAAATATATCCACTTCAGATTATTGTATAGCAAACTTGGAACTAATGATATTGCCATTACTTTCTAAGCAAATTTCTATAGCTTTCTTCTCTGGGTCCTCTTTAAAAATCATTAGTTTCGTTTATTCTTATTATACAAATTATGGATGCATGATGATTGTATTGAATTTAAAAGATACGTGTTTAATGATATTTGGTGTCTACTTAAGATTTTTATATACATACATCGCTAGATCAGTAATATATATAGAAAATATCTTATATTAATTTAATTGTCTTTATATGCATTGGAGTTCAGTTCCAATGCATACTTTTCAGATATTATTACTGTCTGAAGTAGCTGAAAAGCTTTTTAGTCGGGACTAAAATACTTAAAAGAACTTTCGTAATTCTCCATTGATTTTAGATTAATTTCAAAACTTTTAAATCCAAACTTATACCGCTAATGACTTATCTTCCGTCATTACTCTTCCTCTATTACTAACGCTCTGAACAAGTATAGAAGCGAAAAATTCCCCTCAACTTTCAACTGAACCTTCCTATGCATATGATTTCAATTAAATTTAATAACTCTATAATAAATTTTAAGAAATATCAACAAAACTTTGTCTACTATTTCTTACAGTTGTGTGTATGTATGCGTGTTTACTTGTATCTATGTTGAATGCATTCATATTCCTACAGTGAAAGCTCTCATAACAAGACAATTTATTAATAAACCTAAAAAAAACAGAAACTACAGATATTGTTGGCAAAATGTTGATGGCTGGAAGATGTACGTGTGAATAGAATAGAACTTACACAAGCACGCTCTTACAAAAAATGTACGATATGTAAGTACAGGGTCCTGATATGAGAGCTTTTACTGTAAGAGCTTAAAAGCTTAACAAAACAAATAAAGAGTATTTAAAAAATAAGCACCTTACTCAAAAAATTAATTATGCTCCAAAAAAAAAAACACTTAACAGCAGTTTAACAAGAGGCCTTTTTTCACTCACCTTCACTCATATTTCATTCACTTAAAAGGCTCAGAGCGAACAGTTAATCGGGAATTATTTACTTTTTTTTTAATTTAAAGAACTAAATTTTTAGAATAAAACATAAAACAAAAACAACAAAAAGCAATGCACCTACAACAAGCATGTTTTAAATGTATTTTAAAATTTTCTATTAAATCTTAACAATTTAAAATATTTTTCTTTTTTTTATGCAACGATTTTAAGGTTCCAACAACTTGAATAAAAGCTCAGATTTGGATATAATATTTGGCGATAGCCAGCCTGCCTTGGGCAATGGCAAATTTACCCGTTCTGGCGGTTCACTCTCCGATGCTGAATTGATTTTCGGCACTCCTAGTTCCGCCTACAAGACCGATCGTTTTGGTACTTCCAAGAGTATGAGTGTAACATCTGATCGCAGCAGCAGTTATGGCCAACCGAATAGCAGTGCTAACAACTATAAAATCTATGAGGGCATACAAAATGCTGCCTTTAGTGATTTTAGTGATGCTAAGAAAACCGACAGCCAGAGCAGTATACCAGCGTATAACAGTTGGAGAAATAGCAACAAACATTTAGAGGAAGAAGATGATTTAGATTTAAAATAAACATACAAATATTAAACATAAAAAAATAGTTTAAAAACAAAAAGAAAGAAATGTTACACAAACCAATATTAAGCGTATTTAAAAGTAAAGAAAATTAATTAAAATAATGTTTTATTGTTACTGTTAATGTCATTAATAATAATTACAAGCGAAAAAATACATACATAAACATAGACATCTCTATTATGCATATACATACTTACACTAATATATTTAAAAGAGTAAACAATAACAACTACCAAGCAAACAGAGTAAAAGCAACACTTAAGCACTAATGCTAAAACAGCCAAAAGCAAAGAGTAATGCACTCACGTACAACTAAAAGCAGAAATAAAGAGAACTCATTGTGCAACTTAACTACTACTGTTTGCTGGTTAAAAGAGAGTTTTATTTACTTTTTTATATACTCTCTTTCTCTCTCACTCACTCACTCTCTCTCTACCCCTCGAACTCATACGGAAGCAACTACTCATCGCCTCTAAAGTTTCCTGGTTTCATGAAACATTTGTTCATGCAAAAATACTTAAACTTTATGTTTTGTTATATCTTGAGTTAATAACTTAACAAATATTTATGTATATGTATTAATTATTTAAATATAAATAACATAATAATTTAATTAATTGTTGATGAATAACGACAAAAACAACTTAGTTAAATATTGCACTTTATAATTGTTATACAATAGTGAAAAAAAAATATAATTAATTAATAAAAAAAAGAAACATAAAACGTTAAGGATTTTATATTTTATTATATAAAATCCTGGCTTAAATAATGGGAATCATTGTGCTAAATAAGAAGAAAATAAAGCGTTCTTTAAAGAAGCAACTTAAACTAAATGTTGGCTTAAACAAAAACCCCCAAGCGCTTAACACAATTAAGGCGACAAGCAACAAAAACGCAAAGAAAAACTTTTTTCGAAAACTTTAAAATTTTAACTATGTTTCAATGTTCAAATTCTCTTAATCCGAAAAAATATCTCCTCTCCATTTTATGCCCATTTTCTAAAACTAAATTTAAATACAAAATTAGGTTTCTAACAATTTTGTTGGCCGTTGCTTTAATTGTGTTTTTAAATCACCACCAATATCAAAAAAATGTAAACGCACTTAGCTCGAACTGCACAAAATAATTAAATAATTAATAAAAAAAAAACTGCGATAATTAAGTTGAGCATTAAATATTTTGTGTTTAGCATTAAAAAAACTAATAAAAAATCTATCCCTGACAATGTTATTTTAAACAAATAATTAAATTGAAATAAAGTGAAACTAATTTAAAATAAATCTTAATAAAACTTATATATAATTTAAAAGAAAAACAATTACCAAGGAATTCATAAAATGTCACAATAAATTAAGTAATAATTTTCTTAAAATGGCTTATTAAAAGTTTAAATATAATTATCTTAAGTTTAACAGCTAAATATGTTATAAAAATAGACATTACAATACAATATATTCTTTAATTTAACTAAGAACAAGCATTTTCTCGAGAAGGTTCTCAATAGAGTATCTCGTTTACACATAAAATGTTCAGGAACTTCATAAACTTCAAGGTTTTCTGGTTTATAGATATCTAGGATTCTTGTTTTTGAATCAACCTCACAGCTTAAGCTTTAATCTCAGTTAAATAATAAGTTTGACAAGTTTGCCATCGAACTTTAGAATCTAAAGATTTATTAATTTAAAGCATGTCTAACATTCTTGATAACATCCAAGATTGGCCAGATTTATATTCTAAATTATAGAATACAAAACGTCTGCAAAGCGTTCAATCTGAGCAATTACTTAGACGCAAATAACTTTTCCATATTAAGGGTGTATATCGCATAATTTCAATCTCAGTAGTCATATTATGGGTCCACAAGTAAGTCTCTTTTTAAATGCTTGCTAACGGCTAGAAAGCTTTGCACTTTAACAACAAGTATTCTGTAAAAGCTTTGCCTCAGCAAGAAGACTTGCATTTTAAGAACATACACAGTAACTAAATAGTCCGCAATGCATAAATCTTTAACCCCAATCCATTAATAAGTTTAAACGAGTCAAAACACAATCCCCTGGTATTCGATGTTATTTTTTTTACATTTTCTTAAAACGAAAAAGTCATCAGGATTTTTCAATATTTTGAGGTTATGGTACATATTTCAATTTCTGTAACCTATTTTTTCAGTCCATTAGGAAGTCTTTTTCAAAAGCTTTACAATGTTTAGAAAGTTTTGCTATTGAAGGACTTACATAGTATGTGAATCCTCAAATTATTGAACTTTAACCGCAATACTCTATTAAGTTTGTCACAGAGAAATCACAAATCCCTTGATTCCGATTATGGAGTTTTTCACACTTTGTTTAAACGAAACAAGGTAAATTACAAGCCGTAAAAAGTCAGACATGAAGTCACTAGACATACCAAGTCTAGTAAGTACTAGTAAAAGTTTTTTAAAAGCTTTCCAACGGCTAGAAAGAATTACATTTTAAGACCTAGATAGTATCTGAATTATCCGCGAAGTATTGAACTTTAACCGCAATACACTTTAAGTTTGTCGCAGTCAAATCGCAAATCCCAAGCTTCCGTTTATGGAGTTTTTTCACACTTTGTTTAAACAATAAAAGCTAAATTACAATACGGACATTTTCATATTACGAGATTATATTGGATATTTCAAACCTCAATAGCAGATTTTCTCGGTCCAGTCGCAAGCCTTTTAAAAAGCTTTTAAACGGCTGGAAAGATTTGCACTTTAAGGAGTCAGTATCTGCAGTCAAATCGCAAATTCCTGCATTCGATGTTTGACTTTATCTCTTTTCTTTGAAACGGAAAAAGTTATGCTCCGAAAAGTCTGTAATAAGATCATATTTTATCAATATCAGTATCCTAAATTTTATTCCCGTATTTCTATAGTTTAACTTCAATATATTCCTCCCAAACTCTCGGAGATCTGAATTAGCCACAAGTACAAAAGTCTAGAGAATTTTTAAAAAAGAATCAGAAGATTATAGTCCTTGCAAACGTATACTTATGGGGCTAATAGGATTCAAATCAACTCTCAAACTTTGGGAACATATAATCAAGTGTTTGATGGTGTATTTGAAGTTCCCTTGATGTCAAATGTCATTCTAGTTCATTGCTAAAATCAAGTCATTCCTAAAGTTTTCCAACGTATAAAAAGATTTCCATTTATAGGATTTAAATAGGATCTGAATTATCATACAGCAACCGAACTATACCATTAGGTTTTACGGAATCATATCACAGGATCATTGCAGCATATGATCAGGATCAACTCATCAGCTACGAAGTCATCCTGTAACAAAGATCACGATAATCGTTTTAAGATTCTGACATAGTAAAAAGACAGATCAAGTACTTGACAAACATTATTCAAAATGTATATAAACTATCTCTGCTTATAGAAAGACAGTAATCGCATTACTCTCTATATAAAATCATTAACCAAAATGGCGTTTCTATGGCCCTGGATTTAGTTACATACATCGATCACAGCAGCCACGTTAACAGGAACTCAAAGTATAAAGCAAAAGATTCTTAACCCTTTCAATATTAAGGAATCTATTCAAAGTAGTCTGAGTTCCCAAACACGACTTGACACGACTTCTCTTTACTACTAAAAAGCTTTTTCTTAAATCTATCTAAATTTGACCCTGTGATCATGTTCCATTAGAATAATTTACACATTATAAAAAATAAAATCTTTTTCTAAATCAGCTGCTAAAACTGGAAAATATTTATGAATTTGTTTCTTTACAATTTTTTTGATTAGCCAGTCCCACTGTATGGCATTCAAAAACTTTCTTTTTTAAAAGTTTTTTTTAACATTTCAACAAATTAAATTTATTTATTATGAAGCCTAAAAATATGCCACATTTTATGAATTCCTTAACTCAACCAATACGTTTAACAAGCTAAATTTTAAACTAATTAATTTCCTTAATTAAATATTAAATATTAAAAAACATAAAACAACAACTAAAAGCAAACAAACATTATAAACAATAATACATTATATACTAAATACTACATACATAAGTTTAAAAACATAATAATTATATAATAAAACAACAACAACAAAAACTTATTATATACAAACACTTAATTGTTAACAACAAATTATACTTCAACATGAGACACAACTATTTAAAATTAAAACAAAAAAAAAATTAAACAACAACAAAATACCATGACAATATACTCTAAAAAAAAGACAAAAAAACGATTATAAACAACAACAAAATATGATTAAAATATAAATAAAAAATGCTGAAAAAAAGAAAAATCTTTAAAATATATTTAAAAACTAATTTAATAAAAATATATTAGACAAACAATAATAATATTAATTAATTTAAAACAAAATAAATTATTAAACATTAATTAAACAAAACAAAAACCGAAGCAATGTTTAATAATTTCTAACATCTAACTAATTTGTAATTTAAAAAAAAAACATATGAAACTAAAGGTAAACAAAGTAATATAATAATTTTTAATTAAATTTATTATACTTAAATATTAATTATATTAAACTATATTACAAATATTATTATTATTATTATTGTATAACATAAATAAATAAATTATATGGCTATGTGTTGTAATTGTTTTTTTGTTATATTTGTTAGCAAATTCTTTTTCCTCAGCTTATTTTTTTAAAGCAAAAAATTACATACATACAAACATAAATAAATTATTTTTAAATTTTAGTTAAATATATTTGTTAACAAAAAAAAAGTATTATAAACAAACATTAAAAAATATCTATTAAAATATATACTTATTGGTTTTAAAACAGGAATTAAAATGGAGATTTCTTTTTTTTAATTGTTTAAACTTTTTCAAAATTTTGTAGGTTAAGAGTATGCCATACATAGGAAATTTAACTTTTGTATAAAAAAAGGAATATTGGGATTATTATATATTTGGACAATTAAGAACCGATCCGCAATACATTTTTATCGAATTCACTGCTATAACAGCATTTTGAAGTCATTAATGAGTGTTAGTCAGAAGGTGACTTTATAATGCAGGGAGGGCCTTCCCAGTAGGGACCGATCCTTATAAAATGAAGTAAGGAGATTTTGCTTCCTGTAAAACTTATTTATTGAGAATTTCATAGCTATGGCGGCATTTTTAAGCCAGTAATGAGCGTTGAAATACTATTCTGAAGGGGGTCTTAAATAGGGGGTAAGTTATTCACTGATCTTAATAAAATTTGTAAAAAGTTTTGGATTCCTATTAAACTTGTTTCTGTTGAATTTCATCGCTGAACTGATATTTTTAAGCCAGTTATATGTATGACTTTAAACTGTATCCTGCACAGAGGAAAAAGGAATTATACACGCCTGGTACCAAATTGACACCAAAGAGTTTATAATTTTTCAATAACATTCGTTGTCAAAGTATATGTCTAAATGTTAACAAACGTGGTAAGCTCACGGATTGTTTGTCAATAGTGAGCTTACCACGTTTGTTAACATTTTGACAATGGATGTGAATAAAATTTAGATTTCGACAACGAATTGTGGATGGTATTGAAAAATTATAAACAGTTTGGTGTCTATTTGGTACCAAGCGTGTATATTTATTTCTCCCTCTGTGTGGGTGAGCACTTGTATAAGGTCCAGGTAAATCATTGGCCGATTTTCAATACCAAAATATTTTTGGAAAATTTCAGTCCTCTAGTTCTTTTCGTTGTTTTCAACAGACGATTAACGGACGCACAGACATGGCTAGTTCGTCTTAGAATCTAATATGGGTCACCCAGAATTTATGTATATATACTTTTGGGGGTCTTAGACTAATAAATATCAATGTATTACAAAGGGAACGACAAAACCTTTGTAGATGGTTGGTATAAAAAGATGCAATTTTAATTTTAACTTCAGATCTCTGGCCACCAATTATCATATCCCGAAAACCAAAAAATAATGTTTAAACTTTGTAAGAAAATGATCAAATATTTGATAGACCGTTGAACATTTAAATGATGTCGAATAACATTCAAGTTAATTGTTACTAGCAAGTGGCTTTTAAAAGTTTTCCAAAATCCAAAAATGTATTTTTTTATAATTTAGGTAGTACCCAAACTGTTATATCCAATATTAATGTCATCCTATGATGGTGTATTTGATATTAAATAGATAAAACGGCATTAACTTAATCCCTAAGAAATTCGCAAATAGAACACGATGTTCATCATAGTTCTAATCTGAAACTTAAGCTGTGTTTACACTCACTTAGTTCTTATTTGAGATCAACAACTGGGACCTTCTCAAAGTGCGAAAACAATATTCCACAGATCTATTACAATCGTATATAGTGCATTTGATATTTCATATACTGAAATAAAACTGCATGGACTCAATCTTCATAAAAGTCTCTTAGCATTGGTCATCACCCGACATTGATCGACATTCTTACATTGAATTCCCATCTGAGATCAAAAATTGAGTCCCACTCAACTTAAAATATCGATTTTGTTGAAATTTGCACCAAGGTTAGTACTATTGTATAGTAGGCCAGACACAGATCTATTGGTCAAGAACTGTCGAAGTTAGAGGGGGTCAAAGTTGGACATTTTTGTCATACAGGGTCTCTTTTCAAATAAGTGTAACTTTTCACTTATTGGTCTTAGCAAAAATTGTCGAAAGGACTTTAGATAGCCTACTATGCAATAGTACTAACCTTGGTACAAATTTCATCCAAAGACGAATCAACATAGTAACTTCAAGGCGATTGTGTATAAGGTAATTCACAAAAGTAAGTGGAATTCGTTATATTTATACTTTTATGGGCATTTTGACAGCGTTGGGTTATGAAAGAGTTTTGTTTCATATGTCGTTTGAAAACTTCGATTGTCAATCAGCTGTTCAAATGGCTTTATTAAAATGGGTAAAACGGGAACACATTTTGCCTCAATAATGGAAAACTGAATTTTTGAAATACAAATTACTAATTATTACATTAAATGTACTTTTCTATGGTCGGATCTAATAACTAGTCTAAG